GATGGAACACCCACAACTTCTGGAGGCAAGTCCTTCCACTGATTAATTGTTCTCACCAACAGGAAATTTCTCCTTTATTCTAGATTGAGTCTCTCTTTGATAAACTTCCATTGTTACTTCTTGTCCTGCCCTCAGGTTCCCTTTGGGGGATAAGTTGGCCCTCTCTTTTCTCAATTAGTTTTGCAATATTTCCCTCAAATATTGCAAAACTGATATCATGCCGTCTCAAATCCTTCACTAGTTTAGTTGTACTTAGTTCCCACAATTGTTCATTGTATAGAAAAAGTCCTGCTATGTCATGTGACGCTGCCTTGACGATGTAAGTTGGACACCCCTGTCCTAGATCCCTCTGCTGTTGAGTCACGTACCATCTATTCCAGCTGTTGACAACCCATGGCTCCAGAGTCGCATGTGGCTCTTTCATCCCTCTGTTACAGCCCCCTGACGCCCTGTCGTGGCAGAGGGATGAAAGGGCTGTTGCCCTGTCATGATGGTGGCAATGGCTAAAGCCTTAGTGCAGGAGCAAAGCACCCCCTGTACTTGCCTTAGCGCGAAATAGCATTCCGCCTTTGTTGTGGTACATTTGCTGTTGCTGCCTCCATGGCCTGCCTGCTGCTCTCACAGTGTCTTGGGCAGCACAGTGAAATTTAGCGCACTTCACAATGGAGGAGATGGTGTCCTCTACTCCTGGAGCCCATTAGACATGGAGCCACAATGCAGCCCTGCCAAACTTGCCCCTGGCAACAGCAGCATTGTCGTCAGCTCGCTCTCACCTCCCAGATGTCAGTTGCTTTTCCTGCAGAACTGATGGTGTTGTGATGCCCCGCCTCCCCACTGATCATCGGCACGCTGCTCCTGGGCTCATCGGTCTCCGGACGTCAGATTCCCACCACCCAGCACCAGTTCAGGAGTTTCTTTCCCCCCAGGGGATAGAGGAAGAGAGAGAGGGAGGGAGGGAAAGAGAGAGAGAGAGAGACAGACATAGAGAGGGGGAGGAAGAGAGAAAGAAGAGGGAAGAGAGAGAGAGAGAAAGAGAGAGGGGAAAGGGACAGAGAGAGAGAAAAAGAGAGGGAGGGAAAGAGACAAGAGAGAGAGGGAGTGAGTGGGAGAGAGAAAGGTGAACAACATTTTAGCAGAACTATAAATAGATTGAGGCCTTTGAGGCAAGTGGGTGTGACAAGAGGTGGCTGGGAGGAAAGGGGTGAGATGGGGCTGGGCGTTGCAAATAATTTAACACCCAGTTCTGTGCCCTAATGACCAGCTGGGTAGGCATGGCTGGGTGGGAGGTCATGTGACTGGGTGGGTGTGGCTCAGTGGTGGGATTCAAATAATTTAACAACCGGTTCTCTGCCCTAATGACCATC